CCCAAACAAATCAAACTGACGTGGCTGAGGGACGGAAAGGAGGCAACATCTAATGTGACTTCCACTGATGAACTACCCAACGGAAACTGGCTCTATCAGAGTCACTCCTACCTGGAGATTATACCCAAACCTGGAGAGAACATCAGTTGCATGGTGGAGCACGCCAGCCTCATGGAGCCCAAATTTTATGACTGGGGTAAGACAGTGAAAGGAAGCTTATTCTTGGACCTCATCCTGGTTTGTGATGTTATTAAATAAGACTTATTAAATTCACAGTTTATAAATGTAATATAGTGACACATGTGTTTTCAGATCCAACATCCGAGGCAGAGAAGAATAAGATTGCTATAGGTGTAGCAGGGCTGCTCCTGGGTTTGGTGTTTGTACTCGGTGGAGCTGTTTTCTACAAGCGGAACACTACAAGTGAGAAAAATGACAAACGTCACCTCCTTAATGTCTCTATCTGTAACCTGAGCATTTATATTAGTAAATTTTAGGAATAACTAGTTTACTTGCTCTGTGGGTAACAAGCTGTTCACTCTAACAGTCATTATTTCCACATCTAACTCTACCGCACTTTGTAGCAGCTGCAATTTTAACACATTAACACAAAATTATTGTTATTTAAAAACGGATACATTTTAACTCTGTCTTCTTGTTATTATTGTATAGGCCGGATATTGGTGCCAACAAGTTAATCTACCTGTTTGGAGGTACTGTCTGAAGGTGGAATCATCTAAGAAACAATGGCAGCAAATGGAAAAAAGTCAATTTTGAGTTTGCCAACTGGGAAAATATACTAATACTTTGTCCATTTAGACTGGAGAATTCAGAAATATTCAGCAAAAAAAGGAAAAAAAACATATGACTTAAGAATTTTGTTTATAAAACATCACAACTAAATTAACAATGTAACTAATTATTTAATTAATTAATTTAGATTTCTCAGAGTGTGGGCTGTAAATGTTCATGTTGACAGAGATGCTGCTGTTTTGAAGGTCTACTTGATCGTGAAATGTTTTATTAATATTACTGAAAATGTTAAAAATATGTATCTGGGGCTTAGATAAAATAGATATATTTTATTAATCTAGTCATTCAGTTATTCTAACAAGCTGATTTATTTATAGACTTAATGTGAAACTGCATCGTGCAATATGTTCTTTATTTTCTTGTTCCAGCTGTTTTAACTTAAAGATTTCGTTCTTTTCTTTGTCAAGTGTGAACTGGATACCTTTAGGTTTGTAGGGCCCAGTTGTTCAAAAGCAATGTGGCAGGATAAGGATTATTTGATGTGAAATATCAAAATTAACCTGATCCCAGCAAGGGGCTGAATTTGGTCTGGATTACAAAGGAAAAATGAAACAAAAACTCAAAAGGAAAAGAAAAATAGAACTGGTATACTGAGTTTTTTTCACCACTGTTTTTACATTTTGTATTAAGTGGTATATTTATAAAATAATATATAATTTCCTACATTTATTTCATAATTGTATTGATGATGCCTTCTTCAGTTCTAAATATATAAAATATACGATAACTGAGTTGTGTGGTGAAGTCGTTAATGTTAACTAAAAAAGGTTATTAAGAATTTTAAAGGTGATCACAGTAGGTAATAGTAAAATCATTAAAAACTTTAATCTATGCATATGATATTAATTTTTGTTGCCATCTGCTGGTCATTTTTTAGTTTAGTAAGTCGGGCCCGTCGCAGTAAAGACAAACATTGCAGAACATGTGTTGCTGCACAAAAGCAATCAGAGATGTTCATGTTTGTGAAGCATGGTGGCAGTAGCATCATGGTGTAGTCCGTCTCAACAGCAGAGGCTGAAGTCCTTTTCAGGTAAAGTTTTTACAGTAGACACAACAGTCACCTCAAGGTGCTTTATATGAAAAGCTAAACCATACAATAGCACATACAGAGAACAACCCAACAATCATATGATCCCTTATGAGCAAGCACTTTTGGGGATAGTGGGAAGGAAGAACTCCCTTTTGTCAGGAAGAAACCTCCAACAGAACCAGGCTCAGGAAGGGGCAGCCATCTGCTGCAACCAGGGTGAGGGGAGGAAGACAGGACAAAAGACATTAATTAATCAGTCAATCAATGGGAACCCCCCTAGCAGTCTACACCTATTGCAGCATAATTAAGGGAGGATTCAGGGTCACCTAATCCAGGCCTAACTATATGCTTAGCAACAAGGAAAGTTTTAAACCTAATCTTAAAAGCATAGATAGTGTCTGTCTCCCGAATACAAATTGGAAACTGATTCCAAATATGAGAGGCCTGAAAGCTAAAAGCTCTGCCTCACACTCTACTTTTAAATACTCTAGGAACCACAAGCAAGCCCGCAGTCCGAGAGTGAAATGTGGGTCATTAAGATAAGATTATTTAAGACCTTTTATGTGAGGAGCAGTATTTTGAATTCAATTCTGGATTTAACAGGGAGCCAATGAAGGGAAGCCATTACAGGAGAAATATGCTCTCTCTTTCTCGTACTGCAGCATTTTGGATTAACCGAAGGTTTTTCAGGGAGTTTTTAGGGTATCCTGATAATAACGATTACAGTAGTCCAGCCCAGAAGTAATAAATGCATGAACTAGTTTTTCAGCGTCACTCTGAGACAGGATATTTCTAATTTTAGAGATGTTGTGCAAATGGAACAAAGCAGTCCTACATATTTTTTAATACGTGCACTGAAGGACATTTCCTGGTCTAAAATGACTCCAAGGTTCCTCACAGTGTAACTGGAGGCCAAGGTAATGCCATCAAGTGTAAGAATTTGGTTAGATACCATATTTCTAAGACTTTTAGGGCAGAGTATAATAACCTTACTTTTATCTGAAATTAGAAAATTAGAGGTCATCCAGATCCTTTTGTCTTTAAGATATTCCTGCAGTTTAACTAATTGGTGTGTGTTTCCTGGCTTCATGGATAGATAAAGCTGGGTGTCATCCACATAGCTGTGAAAATGTATGCTATGCCTTCTGATAATGCTACCTAAAGGGAAGCATGTATAATGTAAAGAGAACTGGTCCCAGCACGGGAACCTGTGGAACTCCATAATTACTCTCAGTGTGTGAAGAAGACTCTCCATTTACATGAATAAACTGGAGTGCATTAGATATGATACAACACTATTACAGCACTATCTGTAATACCTACAGCATGCTCTAATCGCTCTAATAGAATATTATGGTCTAGCAGGACAAGTACAGAGATGAGTCCACTGTCAGAGCGCCATAAGAAGATCATTTGTCACCTTCACTAAAGTTGCTTCTGTACTGAACTGTAAATGCCAGGTGGATGCTTCTCACCTGGCATTGACAACTGAGATAAACAGTGAACTGACAGCCTTTCAGAGATAGCGAAAAAGCTCTGGGGTGAATCTGGTCTAGAGTCACTTTCATATCTGAATACACTCACTACAGATGGTAGGTGGCCAGAGTTTTTGAAGTGACTCTGGGATTAAAACATAAAGTACTGAAAACTATCTAACTGACCATTACTTGATTGCATTTTTATTTTATTTTATTTTTTAAACAGTAGTGGAAATACATTGGTCAGCTGCAGTTGTGGGGGGCATTCTAAAATTTGTGTTTTTGATCTGTCTTGCCTGACTAAAACATGTTTGTCCTACAATGGCCACTGTAGTGTAATGTGTAGTGTATGTACTTGAATTGGGATGGATAAGAAAGCAGAACTGACAGCTATCTGCTGACATCTAGTGGTTCCCGCTTGTTACACATTGCGTAAATTTACAGACCTCACAGTACCATATTATTTTAACAAAGCCCATTGCTCTCAGGCTGCAGGAAAAACAGCTTCATCAATTCAGTCATCTGATCTCAACCCAACAGAGCATGCTTTTTAGATTAGATTAGATAAAGCTATTAATCCCTCGGGTGGGTTGCTCCAGGAAATTCTGTATAATTGCAGTAGCATTTTAGTTTTTGAAGACAAGACTTAAGGCAGAGAGACCCCCAAGCAAGCAATACTGAGAACAGCTACAGTAAAGGCCTGGATGAGCATCTCAAATGACAGAAAATCCATTTGGTGTCTATTGATTCTAGACTTCAGGCCTTTACTGACTGCAAAGGAATCATCCAAGTACTAAAATCTAACCTTATATTTAAACGGATGTTAGTTTTTCTAGTTATCGTTTATCTCGTTGAATTAAATCTGACTGTATGCTCTTCAATAACACAGTAAGAGAGCTGAGTCCTGTTGCAAAAATATTTACAACCTTACAACCAGAATATTACCAGACAGACAGAGCCAGTAAGATAGCTGCAAGGATGCCTTTTGGTAAGAAGCTGGGCCTGCAGAGGCAGTGTGATGCTTTGTAATATTCTGCTAAGAAACCTTGAGTACCAATCTTCTCATTGATATTCCTCATGTAGGCACAGTTAATTTTTTTGCTTTAGCTTATCATCAGAATCTTTAAAAACCAATCTGGTTTAACCCGAACAACTTAAATTCCTCCACTAAGTGGTTTTAGTGAAGTAAAAAGAGACTTGTAAAAGCATTTAATGTGTTGTTGTTAAAACAAACTCAGTAACATGCCAGCAAAGGCAGAAAAGAAGAAGCCATAAACTATGAGGTAAACACTGCAGTTTGGTAAACAGTGATTCAAATCTTCTTTGCAGATGTTTATGAGGATGGAACGTTTCAAAGTATTTTGTGCATTTTAGTGAGAAGGACTGGATGTAACTTCTTTCGTTACCAAAGTAAATCCACAGGGACCTGCGAACCCTGCAGCTGTGATTGCAACACCTTCAACTTCTGCTTTTTGGGTTTATGCTACTTGTGTGTAGTCATTCTTATCACACGTGCTACAAGGAAGTTAGAAAGTTTTGGACTAAAACTGTGGTAAAAACCAAGGAATGTGGTGTATTACTCATAACCTTGTGTAATTTCTCATATTTCTGGCTGATGATGCAAGAACTGTTTATGTAATTACTGACAAATTCAGAATGTCTCAGTTACAGGAAGGAACCTAGGAAGTAAGGTGTGATCAGTCTGTTATTTTCATTGACCTGACAGAGATTAAATGTGTGGCCTTGAATTGGACAATGTTGAATTTCCTGACAATGGCCACTCACACATGAAGAGCCCTGTGGTCATAATAATCAATCTAAGAATGAGTTTCTGACATTCCTTCAAACTTCACCTTTCAATGGGCGTCTTTTGATGTTTCTCTAGACAACCAAATACCCGAGAGTTAAACAGAACGACCTTGTTCGTCTAATTTTCTATTGACATAAATTTATACATTTATCATTTAAGTTTTTATTCTCAGTTGCAATAGTGACCTGTTTTGACAATGATATAAGTTAATTAAATTCAAGGCTGAAGAGCTTTTTTAATGTTAATTATAAAAGACATGGGGTTGTATACACAGTGCCCACCTATCTTATGATTAACCCAAGTCAAATATCTGGAGATCTGAGAACACAGAGAACAAATGTGTTATACATTACAGAAAAATACAGAAAAATCCACCGGAGGAAAAAGGTACATGAGTTTTACTGCTGTTTACTTCATTTATCTTTGATGTAACATAACTGGTAAGATATGATGGATCTTAGTTGTTTTTAAACCCACCACAGACCCCCTGAGAGCATCCTCTGTCTTGCTGAAGAAGTTGAGCTGGGGGTTGAAAATAGCCTGATCTGCTTTGTGAATCATTTCAACCCACCTTCCATCAATTTCAGCTAAACCAAAAACGGCCATCCAGTGTCTGAGAGGGTGTCGCTCAGTCGGTATGTTCCCAATAAAGATCAAACCTTCCACCAGTTCTCAACTCTGACGTTTAGCCTGAGCGAGGGCGACATTTACAGCTGCACCGTGGAGCACTGGAGAGACCCCAAACAAGAATCTGGGGTAAATATTTAGTCTTATGAATAAAGCAAAAATAAAAAGACGTTTTTACTTTTGTCAGTAATGACAATATTGCAGGTATTCAGGTTAATGTAAAACCGATGAGTTTTATAAGGTCCAAAAAATGTTTTTTTTTAAATATTTTTTTATTCCCAAAGGACTTAAAAGAAACTAATATCTCAATCTATTATAGGCATGAAACTACAAATACACACAATTCGCTGCACAATATTAAGATACAAATATCAGACCTGCAGCAGTAATTTTTCTTCAGGTTATTTTAAACGGAAAGAGGGCGTTACTGCTAGGAATTTACTCCAACTTGAAATACATAACACAATATACTAGAGTTCTGATTTTGGAACTAAATTCCTTGTTTGCACTATAATAAATTGCCCAAGCGGGGAAATGAAGCAAATTTTGATTACTAATTCATCTCAAGCACAGTTCCTTCTTTTATCATTTACAAAAACCTTCTTTTTTCTCTCCATGATGAAGGCACCACTGCTTGGATATCAAACAGATGTGTTACG